ATATATATATATATATATATATATATATATATATATATATATATATACATATATATATATATAGTAGGAAACGTGTGAAGCTCTATATAGTCACAAACACGCCAACAAAGCTCAATTAAGATGTTTATTTTATTTAAATGTAAATAAAAAGTAAAAAACAAATATATTTAAATATAATAGCAGCAAAAGAAAAGAAGAGGCATTAGCGACGGTCCAGTGGTTAAGGTGGTGGTGACCAGTGGTCATGCGTTTTTTTGTTTGTTTCTTTTTTAAGGAATACTATATAATAAATAATATATTTTAATTATATTTATTTATTGTATATTATAATTAGTTTATTTATTTTATTGTTTATATCAAACAGAGACAAACAAAAACAAGAGAGAGAGCTCTCTCTCTCAAGCACCCACCGTGTGCTGGGTTAAGCTATCGATTGCCTTATTTTGTCTGTCTTATTAAAACTACTCTTTTATTCTTTTGTTTTTTCAACTTTTTAACTTTCTTTGCATGCAAAACAATAACTCAGAGAATATATATCTTTTTCTGTGCTTGTTGTTTGTTTATTTACTCGTTTTTTGCTTCTCTTACTTACAAACAACAGCAAAAGAGTTTGTTTAAGGGTTTAAGCAGCTGCAAGCAGTGTGCTGTATCCTTTGCCTCTCTCTCTCTTCATTATTATTATTATTATTATCAATATTATTTTAATTTTTTATCTGCTGGTGCTTCTTTCTTTTACTCTTCTTCTTCCGTTTGCTATCATTGCTATTATTATTATATTATATTATTTGTCTCCTTTGGACATCATGATGAAGGTCTTCAGCTGTCTCCTTTGGGGCTTCACCTCTGTAGCACTTGTCGGGTTTTCACAGGGTCAAGAGGAGTCTATTGTCTCCTTAGACAGCAGCAAAGCTTCAGAGACAGCAGCAAACACTTACACTCTATCACAATCCCAGGCTCTGCGGGGGGCGGCAGGTGCTGCAGGCAGCAGCAGCAGTTGCAACAGCAACAGCAGCAGCGACAGCAACAGCATCAGCGACAGCAACAGCAGCACCAACAGCAGCAGCAACAGCAACAGCAACAGCAGCAGCAGCAGCAGCAGCTCTTTAGGGGACCTGGTCTTTGTTACAATGAAGACGCTGCAGCGGGCAGCCCCGGACTTCTTCGATAAGCTGCTGCTGCTGGTAGGTGATGAGACATCGTGGGGCCTCGAGAGTGCAGCAGTGGATGTACATTACTTCCCAATTGTAGACAGCAGCAGCAGCAGCAACAAATGGAGGGGGGGCCCCATTGCAGCAGCAGCAGCAGCACCAGCACTGCTGCAAGGACCCTAGAAGAAGAACACAGCACAGACACTTTATCTACTATTAAACAGTCACGCCATATGCAGCTGCAGCAGCAGCAGCAGCAACAACTGCAGCAGCAGCAGCAGCAGCAACAACAGAAGCGACGGTAGCAACAATAACAACAGCAGCAGCAGCAGTAGCAGACTAGATGCTGCAACACAGCTGCTGATTTTATGTGCGGTGCAGCAGCAGCTGCTGCTGTCTCCTTGCACCTTCTCCCTGCTAGGGGCTTACAACTTGAGGGTTTAGGGTTTAGGGTTTAGGGTTTCAGTGTCGGCGAGAGCGCAGCAACTCCTGCAGAGGAGATTTTATTGTTGGCGTGCGTAGAGGCCGTTGGGGTGTATATACACCTCAACTATTATATGATGTAATGAGGTGTGTCTGCTGCTGCTCTCTCTCCCCTTGACCTCAGCAGCGAAGCTGCTTCGCACTGTGCAGCAGCAGCAGCAGCAGCAGCAGCAGAAGCAACAACAGCAGCAGCAACAGCAGCAGCAGCAGTAGGGGGGTCGAGGTTGGACACATAAGGGAGAGTCACTCGCTAAACGGTGGCAGTTCTCGAGAGTGCAAGAAGCAGCAGCAGCAGCAGCAGCAGCAGCAGCAGCAACAGCAGCAGCAGCAGCAGCAGCAGCAGCAGCAGGGATAGTTGTGTTTCTGCTAAGACAAGAGACACCTGAAGTCGAGCTAAGGACGGACCTGGAGAGGGGAGACAGAACTAAACAAATACTTATCGCTGCAGCACCTAAGTGTAGCAGCAGCAGCAACAGCAGCAGCAGCAACTGCAACAGCAGCAGCAACAGCAAATGCTGCTGCTGCTGCTAGTTGTGCATGCTTTCAGCTGGCCACCGTTTTTGTTGCGGGGCCTCGCAAAGAGACTTTCTTTTGCTTTTTTTCGTTTGCAAGTGCATAAGAGGGTTTAGGGTTTAGGGTAGAGTAAGGTTTAGGGTTTAGGGTTTAGGGTTTAGGGTTTAGGGTTTAGGGTTTTGTTCACGCCTTTCCACAGTTCATTGTGGGTTAGGGTTTAGAGCTTCGGGTATAGCGTTCAGGCTCTAGGCTCTAGGCTTTAGGGTTTAGGGTTTAGGGTATAAGCTGTTGGGTTTAGGGTTTAGGGTTTAGTGTTTAGGGTTTAGGGTTTAGAATTTAGTGTTTAGGGTGTAGGGTGTAGGGTTTAGGGTTTAGGGTATAAGCTGTAGGGTTTAGGGTTTAGGGTTTAGTGTTTAGGGTTTAGGGTTTAGGGTTTAGGGTTATAAGCCTATGACTCCTCGGACCTCCCTATACAACAACCAGCATAATAATTATTAGTACAACAACCCCACCTTATTATTCATTTAAATAAAACAAATAATTTTAATTATTTGTTTTAATATATTAATTTGTTTGTTTTGTTCTTTTAAATAAAATAAATAATCTTCATTAGTACAACAACCCCACCCTGCTAGCAGCTGCTTGAGTTGGGTGTAGGTTAATAAAGAGTAGTTAATATTTGTCTTTCTTTGTAATTATAAAATTAAATATATTTAACTCCTTTTAATTAATAATAAATATAAACAGCCGCTGCTATCCATACAAAATTTGCATGCACTGAAATAACAACAACCCCACCGCCTCGGAGGCGCAGCAGCAGCAGCAACAGCAGCAGCAACAGCAGCAGCGTTGAAGTACTGGATAATAATGTTTTATTTTCTTTCTTTTTACTTGTCTTTTAAATAAAAAAGAAATAAATATTAATATTTATATATTATTTATTTATTTATTTAGCTGTTTATATACCCGCAGCCCCACCCCCCTGCAGCAACGGCTGCTGATATCTTATCTTTTTTTTCTTTTGCTCCTATGCTGCTGCCTCTCTCTAATCAATCTGAGACTTTTAACCTCTCAGATGCATTTAAGGTCTCAGCCAGCACCACGCAGCCGCAGCAGGAGCCGCGGGACGCCTTTCTGCAGCAGCAGCAGCAGCAGCAGCAGTAACAGCAGCAGCAGCAGCAGCAGCAGCACACGCAACGCACTCACATCAGGATCACGTCACAACTCGTCTCGAGGGCAAGGGAAAAGCCTCAAGCTCTGGGGCCCCCAAGCCAGGCAGCAGCAGCGACAGCAGCAGCAGCAGCAGCGACAGCAGCAGCAACAGCTGCAACAACAGCAGCAGCAGCACATTCAAGGCCAATCGCGGTGCTCTGCTGCTGAGGGGTGGAGGAGAGATAGAGCAGGGAATGCTAATCTGCTTGCAGCCCCTGCTGCTGCTGCACGTGCTGCTGCTCCGGCGGCGGCTGCTGCTGCTGGGCGATCCGCTGCTGCTGCTGCTGCTGCACCAGCAGCAGCAGGTATTGTAAAAGAGATGCTGCCTTTGCTGCACTGGGGTCCCCCAGAAGAAGCAGCAGAAGGAGATGGGGCCCCTATGCAGACGGCGAGGGAGGGCTTCAATGAGTCAGAGCCACACTGGCAGCAGAACTACGAGCAGCAGCAGCAGCAGCAGCAGCACATGACGCGGATGCAGCAGCAAGATCTGCTGCAGCAGCAACAGCTGATGCAATCTGCTATAGATACACCCCACGAATTTTTTTCTCCTCAGTCTTCCAGGTCCCCCTCTGAGCGAAGCCTTGACCCAGTGGATGAAGGTCAGGAGCTGCAGCTGCTGCAGCAGCAGCAGCTGCAGCAGCACCAGCAGCAGCAGCAACAGCTGCAGCAGCAGCAGTTGCTGCTGCAGGGACACGTACAATCCCCCCCGTTTAGTGCCTACAACCCTCAGGGCTGCAGCACGTACTCTGCTGTTCCTCAACAGCAGCAGCTGCAGCTGCACCAGCAGCAGCAACGGCAGCAACAGCAGCAGCAGCAGCAGCAACAGCAACAACAGCAGCATGCAACAGCGCGCCATGCTGGTAGCGACCCTTTTTGGCTACAGGAGGTAGCAGATCGGCTGCTACAGTACCAGCATCAAGAGCAGATGCAGCAGCAAGAGCAGCGGCAGCTGCAGCAGCAGCAGCAGCTGCAGCAGCTAGAGCTGGACCAGCAGCTGCAGCAGCAGCAGCAGCAGCAGCAGCAGCAAGAGCAGCTTCGGCCCCAATGGCCCCTTGAAGAGCAGCAGCAGATGCAGCAGGATCCTCAGATACAGAATATTTCGTGGGAGCAGCAGCAGCAGCAGGAGCTGCGTCAGCAGCAGCAGCTGCAACAGCAGCAGCTGCTACTGCAGCACGGCACAGCAGCACGCCTTCAGCACGCTGCTGCGTCCTTTGCTAGGCTTCCTAGAAACACGAGAGACATGTCCCTTCAGCGCCAGCAGCAGCAGCAGCAACAGCAGCAGGAAGAGCTCCACCAGCAGCAGCAGCAGTTGATACGGCAGCAACAGTCAGAGGAGCAGCAGCTGAGGCAGCAGCAACTCCATTGGGATCAGCAGCAACTACAGCGGCAGCAGCAGCAGCAACAAGCGTTGCAGCAGCAGCAGCAGCAGCGCCAGCAGGCGCAGTACCAGCAGCAGCAACAGCAGCAGCAGCAGCAGCAGCGGCCAAAGATGCCGCAGCGACAGCCCAGCGCAAGGCAACGGGATCCGTCTCCCTGTGCAGCACTGGCGTTGAGGACCCAGCAGCAGCAGCAGCGGCAGCAGCAGCAGCAGCAGCAACGGAAGGCTTTGGCTGGTTCAAAAGAATCCGTAGCTGCCGCCGCTGCAGCAGCAACAGTAGGAGCAACGACAGCAGCAGCACAAGCAGCAGCCACCAGCAGAGGCGTTGCTAGAGGGGCCCCAGCTGCTGCTGTTGCTGCTGCTGCTGCTGCTGCTGGTCGCCAGACGTCGAGGCCTCCTCTAGGGCTGCCCCGTGCAGCAACTCGAAGGGGCAGCGTTGCCTCCGCAGCAGCAGCGGCAACAGCAGCAGCAGGAACTGCTGCTGCTGCAGCAGGAGACACTGCAGCGGGTGTACGAAAGCTGCGCAGCACTTCATCGGGGGCCCCTAGCAGCAAATCGCCTGCTGGAAGACTAAACGCAAGGGGCCCCCCTCAGCAGCACAGCAGCAGCTCCCGCGTGGGGTGCCGTCTAGCGCGTAGCAGCAGCATTAGCAGCAGCAGCAGCAGCAGCAGCAGCAGCACGCGCCCGTCTCGTCCTGCAGCAGCAGTAGCAGCAACAGCAGCAGCAGGGGGACCCCCTGGAGGCAGAGGGGCCCCCAGCGGCGTTCAGGGGCCCCCAGCTCAATCTGCTGCACCTGCGCGTGCTGCGGAGGGTAAAATCCCAAATCAACAGCCACCAGAGCCTGCTGCTGCTGCTGCTGCTGCTGCTGCTGCTGCAGCTGCAGGTGCTACCAGAGAAGCTGCTGCGGATGCATGCCCTTGGGGACAGCAGCAGCAGCAGCTGCTGCAGCAGCAAACGCCGGTGCCTGCTGTTAGGAATATTTTCGGTGTCACCTGTCCTGAGGACATGCTGCTGCAGCAGCAGCAGCAGCAGCAGGTGCAGCGGCAGCAGCAGCAGCAGCAACAGGTGCAACGGCGGCAGCAGCAGCAGCAATTGTTAACGTTGCAGCAGCAACGCAATCGAGAGCTGTGGAAGGAGCAGGAGATGGCTCTTAGGTTGCTGCCGTTGGAGGATGCAGCGCAGCAGCAAATGCAGCAGCAGCAGCAGCAGCAGCAGCATTTGCTGCTGCAGCAGCAGGAGCGCCCTTTGCTAAGTGCTGCAGGTGTATCATTCGTAGAAGAGTCGTTCAACAGCTTTGGGGCCCCCAAAAGCAGCAGCAGCAAGACGACAGATAGGCGTTGCTGCTGGCCGGAGTACCCAGTTGCTGCTGCTGCTGCAGCAACTGAGGGCCCCCGCGATATGTGGGGGCTGAGGGGCCCCTTGGGGAGGCCCCCCTCTGCTGCACCTGCAGCAGCAGCAGCAGCAGCAGCAGCAGAACCCCTACCAGCTGTTCGCCGCGCCCTCCAAGCCACAGGGGCCTCAGCCTGGGGGCCCCTCCTTCAGGGGCCCCCAGGGGGGCCCCCCCCAGGACATTCAGGGGGGACAGATACACATGCTGCTGCTGCAGTGCAGCAGCAGCAGCAGCAGCAACAGCAGCAGCAGCGTGGAGAACAAGGGATAGAACAGCCGAACCCCCAGCAGGTCCAGCTGCAGCAACAATTGCAGCAGCAATATACCCAACAGTACCAGCAGCAGCAAGAACAGAAGCAGCAGCAAGAACAGCAGCAGCAACAGCAGCAGCAGCAGCAGCAGCAGCATCAGCAAGGAAAGAGTTTGGGGGGCTTCCCTGAACCAACCCGCGCTGTCTCTAAAATACCGTTGCCTCCAGTCAGGCGCCCCAGCAGCAGCAGCAGCATTTGCTGCCGAGGCCAGCAGCAGCAGCAGCAGCAACCGCAGCAGCAGCAGCAGCGGCAACAGCAGCGGCAAAGGCAGCAAACTACACCTACTGCAGCTGCCTCAAGAGAGGCCTCCAGCAGCAGGCGACGCAGCGCAGCTGCTGTTCCAGCGGGAACGACAGCAGCAGCAGCAGCAGCAGCAACAGCAGCAACAGCAGCAGCACAGCGGAGCAGAAGAAGACTCAGCCAGCAGCCGCCTGCTGCTTCGAGCTCAGCAGCTGCAGCAAACCCAAGGGGGCCCCCCCTTCCTGCTGCTGCAGGGGCCCCTGAAGGGGCCTTCAAAAGGAGCAGCAGCAAACTGGAAGGGACAGCTCTCTCTTCATATGATCAGCGGGTAGCTGCTGCTGCTGCTGCTGCTGCTGCCGTCTCCTCTGTTTGCTTGCTGCTGCTGTCTCCTTTGCTCTTTTGTTGGTGCTGTCTCCTTTGTTTGCTGCTCCCGTCTGTGCGTCTTCTTCTTTGTTTGCTGCTGCTGTTTGTCTCCGCCATCGTTTGCTGCTGCTGCTGCTGCTGCTGCTGCTGCTGCTGCACAGCAGACTTTTGTGTCTCTCTTTGTGTCTTTAGAATGAAAGCAGATACACTTCAACAAACTATCAAAGCATCAATTACAGCTTTAAGGGGGGGCCCCAGGGGGCCCCCTCCCGCCCTGTCTCCTTCTTTAAGTGGCTGGAGCATGTTGAGCAGCATGAGCAGCAGCAGAAAGCTTCCAGCAGCAGCAGCAGCAGCAGCAGCAGCAGCAGCAGCAGCAGCTTGACGGCAGTTACTACAGCGGAAGGAGACATAGGAGACACCAACTTTGCAGAGGAGGGCGACGAAAATATTAATTCGAATTCTGCTGCTGCTGCTGCAGCAGCAGCAGCAGCAGCAGCAGCAGCAGGAGAAGGCGTAAGTACACCTCACCGCACCTCCTTCAAGGTCTGTGTCTGCTTGCTGTGAAGGAGATAGCAGCAGCAGCAGCAGCAGCAGCAAGCAGCAGCAGCCTTTGCTTCTTCTTGTCTCTTAATGCTGTCTCCTTTTGCTGCTAGAGATCCTCTGTGTGTATATTTGTTAGTTTTTTAACTGTCTCCTTTATTCATTTTATTATTTAAGTTGTCTCTGTTCTTTGTTTGTATTTTATTATTAATTAATTAATTAATTAATTTGTTTATTTATTTATTTAATTTAGTTTATTTATTTAATTTAGTTTATTTATTTAATTTAGTTTATTTATTTTACTGTCTCCCCTACTTATTTATCCTTTTAATGCTTTATTTTATTTTATTTTATTTTATTTTATTTATTTTATTTTATTAATTTGTTTTGTTTGTTTTGTTTTGTATTTTATTTTATTTTTTATTAATTATTTTTTTTATTTATTTAAAGTTTTTTCATCGTAATAAATTATTTATTTTATATCTATAAATCAATTTAAACATTTAAATATTTATTTATATCTATTTATATTTATTTTTTTATATTTACATAATT